ATGCACACTATTTCGTACGTTTTGGACGTTTTTCCTCAAAAAACCACATCAGTGCGCATGCGCTGGCAGACAGAAAATAAAACAGTTCCGCGGACGGACGTAAAACTGGGAAAAACAGTGCAATCATCACTTATTCATGTCTCTAACTATGTTGCTTGCTGTTTTATATCTTAGGGTTAGGGTCAGGGTCAGGACTAATTGAAATTTATATTCTATGTTCTTGAATGGGGCGTAAGATGCGCATGCGCATACGATGAAAAAAACGTCCAAAAAGTACGAAATTACGGTGCATAACTTTTCGTATGATTTCATACGAACTCATAATGAGAATACACTGACAGGAAGGCACCTTCCTATAAGGCAATTGTACTGTCTTATATAACATGACGCTGAATCTGCTGCGACTGCAAACCTTATTTCTTTCTTTTTCTTTTCATTTATTCATTTTTTTGTGTGTGGTAAACTGCAGCTAGGCTAATACTGCGATCAAAGACATCTTTTCATGCAGACCGGGCACCCGAGGGAACCGGCTTTAATTGATACTGCGTAATGATGATGGATATTACGCTGCTGTGCATTATGCATAGGCTCTCGTTGGACAGAAGTTCTGGACTCGTTATGAGTACTCTATGTAAACACCCAAAATTGAAAAAAAAAAATGCATAGAAAGATTTAGCCAGAAACACTCGGTAAATCGGCAAGGTGTGACAGGGGCCTAAACCCTTTCTTTTAAATTCTGGAGGTAGCACACAAAAATCATGAATGTTTTTGGCCGAATTCAGATGAGCAATTTAGGTTAATTCCAAGATTACAGTGAGATTAATCTAGATTAAAATAATGAATCTGCGTGTTAACTGCATGTGTTCATGAACAGTTCTGTTACCTTGGTGGGGAAGTAGCGGCTGAACTTGAACTTCTTCAGAGAGACCGTCATGGAGTAGGTGCCAAAGAAAAGGATGAAGGACATGAGGGCCAGGTCGGGGACAAATTTGCAGGACTTTCCCACCAGAGAGCCTCCATACTTCATGCACTCCTTCTTGCCCAGCTGACTCCAGTCCAGAGCTGTGACATTCAACTGGGATGGTGGGCGGCAGTGTTGGGCAGACAGGAGAAGGCGACAAGTGAAGTGTTTTGGCAAAGACACGAACAGAGTAAATATGTCAGCACGGGTCGGAAGTTAGAGACCACAGAGAAGAACTGGACGGCGGCAGGATCGACGGCAAGAAACAAACAAAGGCGGATAAGAGGAGAGCAAAGCCACTTCTGTCGCAATGAGGCGATGCTAGGGTTAGCTCTTTTCTAGCGTTTGGATTAATTTTGCAGCTGAAACTTTACGGAGGACGGACACAACTGGTTTACGATACAGAGAACCAAAAACCGAGTGAGAAAAGTGAAAACAAGCACTTACCCCAGAGACACTAGAGCTGTTATCTGGCATTGGAACTAAACCATTGAAGATGATTGCAGCCACTGTTAGTGAAGGGTGGAGAGAGACAAACACACAAACACATGGGGTAATGAGACAGAAAATAACAGGGGAGGGGAGGAAAACAAAAGGAGAGCAAAAAGAAATGCAAAACATGATGAGAATCCACCCGCTGGACATTGCTGTGAGCACTCGCAGACGCATGCAAACAAACAGAGAGGAACTCACTTGCAAAATACGGCAGCCGGATGTTTGAGCATGGTGAAAGCAAACAGAGACAAATCAGTTACAGAAATCAATGTCCACAAAAACTACTGCTAATATCCATCAATAATCAGCCCACATCTATGACTGTTTCTGTTCTTAGGGATTATTTTTTCCTGGAATCAGAGCTCTGTTCTGACTCTTGAAGGAGGAGGTTGTATTTTCCTGCAGCTCCTGTTCCTCCCTGATCTGTCCCTGCTTTGCTGTGTCTTGTATTTTCTAAGGACTCTCTTCATATCACCCAAATTCAAACAATGGATCTGGTCAGCCGGCCTCTCAATGCAATCGGTCAAATTTTTAACATATTTGGAATATTGGATTCGCCGTGTAGAGCCAGCAAGGAAAGACTCAAGGCTGACGGAAAATTCCTGTGCAGCCTGCTCTCAAAACAATAAGTGTTATCGTGGATTTGACCTCCCCCTTATCAAATCTACCCAGGATGTTATGGCGGAAGGGCCAAGAACTGCACCCCCCCCCTACCTGCAAACATCTGTGGATGCGTCCAGAACTTTAGTGCTAGTTTATAAACTTCCATCTTATCAAGAACAATGGCCTGTGGACAGCGTTCATGGACAAATTGAACACATAACTAATGCTCAAATGTCAGATTGACTTTCTTGTGGCTCCAGCCTCCGATGTGACCCTCTGCTGAAATGTTTGTCTCGTGATTTTATGTGCTTTCCTGGTGCTGAGGTTTTTTTGATATCTCAAACTGTATCCTGTTAAGGATAAAGGGTGAAATGTGCTTTTACCCCCCTCTCCATCCCAACACGGCTCCTATCTTTCCACAGAAATAAAGGCAGCGTTAGAGGGAACCGCCTCACGGTGAGGCCCTTGGCAGCCATAAGACCGTGCCATAGGCAGCGTTCTGCGGCACGTACGGCTTGTACTAAAACTGAAACCTTAATTACTATTTAAATTGTAGTTGACAATAAAGAAATTGAGTGATTGATTGTTTTTTAAAGATTTGTTAACTTTAAAGGAATAGTACACCCAAAACATGATTAGCCTTCATTTTCTACTGACCCCCATGCTGAACAAAACTCTGGAGTACTTTTTTGATATCTCAAATGCATCTGGAGATCTGGGAGGCTTCTTGCT